CGCGCGATGAGGTTTCTTTCATCTTAAAATTTGAGAGTGAAGGCTTTCAAAGGTTAATTCAAAATGGATTTGAGTCGAAGCAAAATTGAGTTTATAAACAAATTTTTGAATTGAACCCACGCAATCCTCTTTGCATTGACTAAATTTTTCAAACTTTTGACTAACTTTTTCAAAACCTATTGCGTAAGGTATGACATGCGGCACTGAATCACAACATTTTTTGTTGCGAAACAAAATTGAGCTTTTAAAAAAAAATTGCCTTAGTTCAACTTTTATCGAGTTTTGTTGACAATTTTTAATTTGTCGTCTGAAATAGTGAAAATCACTCTTTCAGTGAGTCCTATTATTTAATTAATTCAAGTTAGATAGCGCTGTTCTAAAAACAAAAAAAGTTCAGTATGTGTCACGCACAAACACGTGTTTTTCTTGTAATAAAGTGCATCGATATCGTCCTGAAAATTGTCATTGAGAGACACCTGCTTTGTGCATTATGTACCCAATCATTTATCTAGTTCACTGTCAGAATATCTGCGTTGCTCTGCGCACAATGAATTTTTTTCGAATGGCTGTCAATCTCACTCAATGCTTAGCGTACGCATTGCGACGAAATATCCTAATATTGGCATGAGGAAATGTATCGTGAGTGATTGCCGCATATTACATCGAAAAAGTCAAGTTTTTTTTAAGGGTGGAAGGGCAGCATTTAATTTTGCCGATCGTTCGTCGTTGAGTTTGGTTAGTCTTGGAGGCAACACATGTTAAACTCTCTCAGAGATTCTTATGTAACCTGTTTCAATACTGTGTCACATCATACTGCAGTATATTCAGTCTAGGAGCCCTCGAGCACAGTAATTGTTGAAGGTTTCGGGTTTTTTGATGCCCAATATAAAGATTTGAATAAGTGTATGAGATACATTTCCATACGTCTGTAAGAAAATTTACCTCCACGAATACTTCATTTTCTCATGGGATTGCTTTTGTACGATTAGAGAGGATTTTGAGAGTGCTTGCTTTTCGTCGGAGATACCCTAATCTAATTGTAAGGGATAAAAACATTTAAAATAAATTTCAAACCAAAACAAACACTCATTTTAAACCAATATCTTAGTTGGATGTCTTGCTTCGAAAATTTCCTAATTCGGGAAAAACGAAAATTCCGTTTAATTGCATCAACGTTGTTTTTAAGGTACATATCAGTTAATTTTTTTTAGGTTAGGTTGTTAGGTTTTTTTTTTCAGCGACTTGTTAGTTACTTAGTTTTTTTTTACTTTTCAATTTACGCACTTTCACTAAATAGGTACAAATTCCGTTTCTTTGGAGCAATGCCCAACTTCAAGGTTTCATGACGTTCATACTAAATGACCGAGATTTTTCATATTTTAGACTCCTTGGCTTTTTTTGGAAACTGGATGTACCTAATAATCTATCACATTTTGCATTATCCGAAAATTTTCGGCTGAATCCGGTTTCTTTTCTTCTCCAGGACTTCCNTCCCCGAGCATTTTTCGAAACAAGCCGTTCAATTTCGACTACCCACTTGGTTTTTAAAAAAGTGAGGCTGCAAATGAGAGCTGCAGCGTTTCAAAGCCTAACTTTTAATGCAAAATTTCGCATGTGTACTTCAGCAGAATGGAGATGTTGCATGCGTGAGGAATTTGCGATTTGACTGTTGATTCTCATGCAAAAGTTCGCAAGGAACACGATGGCGCCTCTGGTTTTCTCTAGAAAAAAGCTCTCAAATTGAGGCCAAAATGAAGGGGATATCCCACTCTATCCTGAGAGCCCACCTCTACATCAAGACATACTCTCTATGCAGAGATAGAGAGAAAATACATTGACAGGGCTGCCACTTTATTTGGGGACTCCTAAACTGAAATCACGGCAACCCTGCTAATGTGTGCTCCCTATCTTTGCATGGAGAGTTTGTCTTGATGTAGACGTGGACTCTCAGGATAGCGTGGGATATCCCCTCCATTTTGGCTTCAACTTGAGAGCTTTTTTTGAGCTTGGGAGTTAATTTTAGAGAAAACCAGACGGACCATCGTGTTTCTCGCGAACTGTTACATAAGAATCAACAGTCAAATCGCAAATTCCTCACACATGCAACATCTCCGTTTCATATAAAATTCGTGTATTCTACGAAAGGGCGGCAACGTGGGAAATCATTAACGAGCAACAGAAGGAATCCCGGCGCGCATCGGGCGCCCGCGCTATTATGCGAAATGTTTATTTTTTATTTGTATTTATTTTTCGACGGGCCAGAGGTGACAGTTTGATAAGTGTTGATACATTCATCAATACCTTCTCCCTCCGCCTCGTGCGCGCAGCTCGACGTATGGATTTCCGTCCTCCATCCATCTCCCGAACTTTTCCCGCGGCGAAATTCGCGATTAGACGCATCCCGGGCTCCCAGATTCGGGGAACATCACCCCGATATGGCTCACCAGATACTCTCCGCATCCGCAGATATGAAAATATGGGTCGTTTATTCCTGGCTCTGGAGAGTCGGAGGGGAGATTAAAATTGAAAAATCCTCCATTATCGTCTTTTATTTTTCTTATTACTTTCCTTCTTAGGTTTCCTACATTCACCGCTTTCTTTTCTATCCGCTTCTCTTATATTTTTATTTCATCCATCTATCTACCGTCTTCCGTCTTTCCACCCTTTCCAGACTGTATTTATCCTCTATTTTTCATTTCCGCCCTTTATTTTTTCTCTGCTCTTCCTTTCTCCCATTTTTTTGGTTCTCTATTAATTCTTTTTCAAAAGAATGAGGAAATATACCAGAAGACGCATTGCGTGTTTGTTCGCTACGTTTTCATTTTTTTAATGTTTTACGTCACTATGCGTTTTGATATTTATTCGCTCTAACTTGGTTGTGTTTTTGTAAATTTTGCTCATGATGAGATATATTTCTAAAATGCATTCGATTACAGAATTAATTATAAAATAAACAATGCATGTTTTGGTATATTTTCTCATTTCATTGATAACAACTCGCGAGATGCGCCTCTCTAGTTAATCTTTTGTCCTTTCGCTTCGTTCTTTATAATTCGTTTTTTCTCCTTTCGTGATGTGTATTATCTTTTTTTTGTCATCTCTTCTTCTCCACCCCCACCTTGTTGTTCGTAGTTGTTTCTATCTCTTCCTCCTTCCCCCTTCTTCTCATTTTACTCTCCTTCTTTGCTCTGCTCTCTCAATTTTTGCCTCTTTTCTTCCACTTTCTTTCTGTGCTTCTTACATTTTTCATTTTCCTCGGAAAGAATTTTTTAACTCTCATAAAATAAAACCCCAGAGCTTGAAAAAATCATTTGACATTCCCTACACACACTATGTGTATGCGTAAACGCTTAAACTGCAAAAACATATCTCAACCGTCGTGAATTTTATATTTATTTAATTTATTTTTTATTTTATTTTATTTTTTATATTGAGGAGGAGGAAGAGGAACCTCTACTATTTTGATTAAAATCAACCCAATATTGTCGGACGTATTCACAATATGGTGTCAAGTTTGTAAGTATGTTAAGCCAGTTGAAAAAGTAAAAAATTTAGGAAGTCTGCAACGTCCAAAACCGAGACACGTGTTAATGCAATTTCACCGTCGACATGTGAGAAAGTTGTGCTTTCCATGAGAGGAAAAAAGTCATAAACGCGAAAAGGAGAGAGTATGTTTGCGTAGTGTGAATTAACTTATAATTAGCTGTAACAGCTTGGGGGTATTACCGCTGAAATTTTAAGGAACTAATGTCCTCACACTTTGAAAATTGTAGTTACGAGAGGCTTTTTGTTACTCTCTGCTTTAATCTTTTCCCATCCTATTCCACCCAGCCTTTACGACTGTCTTATTAAGTTAAGCCCCGCACGGAGGCTGAGACGGGTGAAGGATTTCTCCAAAAGATTCTAATTCTTACCCCGCATGTACATTGTCCATCAAAGCAGGTGTCGTTAATGTTAATCGAGGACGTAGAGTCTCTTTATACCCAGAGTTAAGACATCTCGATTATCAGCTGGGCTGGGCTGGCCATGGTGTCACAAAAGTGTGCACCCAAACGAACGATATTGAGGGATAATGATAAGGAAACTTGCGATGTCTGTTATCCAAAAACAACAACATCAACAAAACTGATCAAAATCTAACCAGAGATATTGCAATAAAATAAAATGAGATTGATTTGTGAACAATTTCTTAGTCTATTTTCATTTTGGTGCGATGAAAATAACAATTTACACTATCACAATTAGGTAATATTCTCATTATTTTTGTTCTCATTCGAGCCACCGCCATATTGGTGCACTCTTCCGTGACTCCATGAGCGAGAACCAATCAGAATCGGATTTTTTTTAGACCACTTTTCAGCCCGACCAGAATGGACCACCAGACAAGGTACGAATTTAAGCTGTTAGATACATGTTTTTTGACCAGAATTTCACGTACATCACGATTTGGGCAATGAAAAATGACTGAAACCAGCTACTAACATAGATATTAACGTTTTTATTTCACCTCGGTCACGAGAAATTCGAACTGCCCGTTCACAAAAAACTCAAAGCTCTACACGAGTCAAATCGCCCACTACAACGGTTTCAGCAAGCTTCTCAATCGAGCAATGTTCATTTTCCACCATGTGTTGTTCAAACTATTAGCAATTTGCTATAGCTGAGCCAAAGCGTCAAGATTGAGGTTGCCAGATTTTTATATCGCAGAGACTGTCATGATAACGTTTAGCATGCGGTGTGAATCACGTAAAGCATTGAGTTTTTATGAGCGGGTAGTTTGAATTCATGCATTAGGAATCCTTAAATATCTTCGTAAGGAGTTGATTTCGGTAATTTTTGTTGTGCGTATCGTGTTCTACGTGAAATTTTGGTTAGGAAGCATGTATCAGAATGCTGAAATTCGCACCTTGTCTAGTGGTTCATTCGTGTCCATTCGTGTCAAGTGGATTTTTCTTCCTGATTTGACCAGTTTGAATGAACTGATTGGTGACTGATTTCAGAAACACAGCATCCACGGGATGACGGAGGGAGAAAATGTGGTGCGGCCGCATCAAGAGATGGCGCAGCTGACTCTGGACGAGAAACAGTTCCTGCTTGCAGTCGAGCGTGGCGACATAGCCTCGACCGGCAGGTAAGCAAAAATAATCCTTATAAATTTATATGTATAGTGAAGAAACAAGAAAAAAAAACGCTGAGAACCTTGGCCAAAACCGTTTGTAACAAAGTGGTATAATTGAGGTGGGTCGCCACTATTTTGCGGGAAAACAAGGCCAAAAAGTTCAAAAATATCAGAAAAGTCAAACATTTTGAGTTCTAATGAGTACCGGTGAAAAACTGAGGAGGGAGAGTATTCAACTCAGGCAGATATATATTGGTGAACACTCTTTCCCTCAGTCTTGCGCTGGTACTCATTACGGCTCAAAACTTTTGACTCTAATTAAAAATTATGAACCTTTTGGCTTTTTCCCGCAAAATAGAGTGGACGCAGCACTGTTTTACCACCTTATTCACAGTGAAGTAAACCGGTTTCTCACCGAAAAAAAAAAATCGATCAAACCGTCGAACGAAACTATATTTCGATGTCGCAAAATTTATTTTTACCCGGAAACTGCGTTGTGCGTTTCTAACTGAACAGTTTGCTAATTTTTCCTCTGCCTAAGCGTAAAAAACAACAAAATTTTGAACTTTTAAGAAATATTATTTTTTGGGGGTCACTTCTACAATCTTGAAATGGAGCCGCGTTCTTTCTGACTTCAATATTGATCCAACTGTTGAGTTTGTCAAACCGAGCTTTCAGTTTGTCGACCTCAACTTTCGGATTATCAAACTGAACTTCATAAATCGGTGGAACAACAACAACAAATCAAAGGTTTGAGTTAACAAACCGAGTGGTTCGATCAAAATGACACGCCAGATTTATGCAGTTGAACGAGAGGAGCACCTTCAAATTAGATGATACCGTTTTGAGTACACTGGAGTGGTAATAGTTGCATGAAGCGAAGAGTGTTCAAACATCACATGCCCGCGGCTTCAAGTGAACAATAATGAACCATCACCAAGGAAAGAAATGAGGCATCACAGTACTTTTCTTTTTTCATTGATACATTTTGTAGCAAATCTCGAACTTATCGAAGGTCTTAAAACTCGGAGGTAGAAGAAGAAAAAGAAAAGCTCAAGCAATAAAAGGATCAATAAAGTGATAAGTTTTTTAATCAAGACAATGAACTAGTGTGATTAGAGAGACGCAGTATACCCATTTTTAAATGCATGAAACTCGAAAACTATTAGTCTTCTCGTTGATGTTTTACTCAGTTCGATGAATTCATATTTGCATAAAATTTTGCCTTTCACTATTTGAGCTTTTATCGTCACGAGCTTGCTCAGCAAGCTTTAATTAGGGTGCAAACGGCAAAAAAGGATAACTTCATTTTAGATGTTAATGATGTGATAAATATAAATAAAACACACTGCGCGCAAAAAAAGCAAGATACATTAAAAGCTCTCTCACGTTTTTCACGCGAGCATCGTGCAAATATCGTCCAACATATTTCAGCATTTTTCAGATAGAATTTCCTGACGGAACCTAAAACTCCCGCCTAATCGAATTGGCATATGTATAAACGCAAAAATAACTTCGCCTCTATTTTTCTTTTTTAATTTCTCGAGGCAATTCTGTACCCTGCATCCGATTTCATTATCCCCCCCACCCCCTCCATGTTCCATATTTTATGTTAGCTAAAGGCCGTTAAGTGGTAGACCGTTTATCATAATTTTGGCAATACTCCAGATTAGAGGAAAGGTAAAAAGAGCTAAAAGGATAATTACTTTATCAATATCAACCATTTATGAGAGATGATTTTTTAACGGTTGAAAAAAATTCTGTTCGTTTCTTCCTGCAACACATTTTTTCCGAGCCCCTTGTTATGTCCACTCTTGGTTTGACGAAAATTAAAAAATTCTGGTGTGACGAAACTTGAGGTGTGCGTAATGAAATACAACCAGACAGTTAACTAAATAAATGAGAAAATGAGGGAAAAAGTTTGAGAAAATCCCCGAATGTTTGAGTAAGCGATCATTCATCATGAATCAATTCGACGGTAAGCTCCGTTATGGTGTTTCGAAATCTCCGCTACCATCTTATTTTTTGAAAAGGGACCGAACCCACATCATTGCTTTATAGAATAAAAAAGAAGAAAACTGCAACGCCGCAAAACCAAAATAGCCTCTGCAGTTTCACCATTGATTTATCTTTTTGGGCAAATAATTAATTCAGGGGCCTTTCATGAAACAAATATGATCATTCTTCACGAAATATGTGTGGCTATTTGCACCAATGCTCTGAAACACTGCATGCTGATTTGTTGAGAATTGAAACCTTTGGACCGTCGTAAATCCGAATTTTTCATCCTTTTAGATTTTTCTACCTACCTAAGAAGCTCAAAAATTTGAACTCAAGAAATGATTATGACAGCGCCGAGTAGATGTCACCTCTTTAGGTGAAGATTTTTTCTAAAATTGAATCGACTAAAAATGAAAATTTAGGAAGCCAGAGAGCATATCGATGACTAAAGTACGACACCACGGATCTCCACTGCGGTGTTTTAAAATCTCCGCTCTTGGTTTATTTTTTCGAAGAGGAATCAGTCAACTTTATGGCTTGAAATTGATGTAGTATGTTCTACCAACAGAGAAGAAAAATCAAAGAAGTTTTTAAGAATTTACGTTGACTAAGTACTTTTTCAAGGAAAAACTAAATTATGACTGGAAGTCAGCAAAGTTGCGAATAGAGATACACTTAGCCACTCACTTTAGACATCGTGATACAGTGATATTAATATGTGTCCATTATTTTATTGGACAGGCTAAAAATATAATCTCAGAATCTTAATCCAAAAGAGTAGAACCTATGTTGCATGATGTCTAATTGAGCTCTGCCGTGCTAAGGAAGAACGCCGTATGAACATTCGAGAGTAGCCAAATTTCTTTCGATAAAATGTTTATTTTTGGGTAAAAATATGTATATTTTCCCCTGAAATTTTCAGGAACTTTAGGTGTAATTGCGAACAAAATTCTCTGAAAAATTGGGAGGAAAATATTCAATAGTTTACCAGGGAATTCGTGTTTTATCAAAGGAAATTTGGCAACGCCTAAAGGTTCATACGGCGTTCTTCCTTAGCACGGCAGAACTGTCCGCCTGATCCGTTTTTGGAACGGGACCTAATTCAAATCGATGCCCAAAGTGCGAAACCACTCTCCTTCGTTGCAACATTAACGTTGCACACTTTAAACCACAGAAAGCAATCAGAAAAGCAACGGTATTCAACCACAAACATACAGATTTGCAGACTCAACCGCTCAACGACGCGCTACCACCGCAACAACGTAAGGATGCGACTTCCACCGAGGCGCTGCATACAACTATTCGTACTCGATGGATGCGCGGGTTGCAGACTCGCTTAATTGAAGGCGTTTTAATTTCTCTCGCGCTCGCAAGCATCGACCGGCGGTACACGTTACCATTAACGACCGTATTTTTCGCGCCCACGGTGCGCAAGTGCCTGTCGATGGCTAAAATGCAAAACCACGTATCTTCGTCTGCGACGTTGCACACTTTCCGTCGTAATTGATTTTTTTTTTTTTGGGAGTGCTAGCTTGTACATAATGGACCACTAGACAAGGTACGAATTTAAGGATTTTGATACATGTATCTTAACCAGAATTTCTCGTAGAACACGATTCGCGCAACGAAAATTACTGAAACTAACTCCTAACGGAGATATCAACATTTTTATTTCATATTGGTTACGAGAAACTTAAACTGCCCGCTCAAAAAAAACTCAAAGATCTACGTGAGTCAAATCGCGCACTACAAGGGTTTCAGCAATCTTCTCAATCGAGCAAAGTTCATTTCCCACCATGTGTTGTTTAAACTATAAGAAATTTGCTATAGCTGAGCCAAAGCATGAAGATTGAGGTTGCCAGATTTTTATATCGCAGAGACTGTCATGATAAACGTTTAACGCGCGATGTGAATCACGTAGAGCACTGAGTTTTCATGAGCGGGTGGTTTGAATTCACGCATCAAGAATCATTAAATATCTTCGTAAGGAGTTGATTTCGGTAATTTTCGTTGTGCGCGTCGTATTCTACGTGAAATTTTGGTTAGGAAGCATGTATCAGAATGCTGAAATTCGTACCTTGTCTAGTGGTCCATTTCTTCAAAACTTCTTTGATTTTTATTCTCCGTCAGCAGAATATTCTGTTTAAATTTCAAGCTAGTAGGAACCGGCTTTCGGGTAAAATGTTTAAAACGACGCCGCCGTTGATTTGCGAATAAAATTTGATTGCCTTTCAGCAGCTTCCGAGCTAGCTTCCGAAGACATTACGCTAGGATGAATTTGTCGAGTGAAGGGAGGAATAATAGAATTTTCCAAGGGGCTGTGCGCCCCGTCTCACGCCTTGAGACGTTGTTTGCCCAGCGCGGGAGCAGCGCCTCGGAATAACGCTTCCTCGACACCCATTAAGTTAAATTGCTCAATTAAACAATATTTTCTCTCCGCAAATCGAGTCCTCAACGGTGCTAATTGACCATGAGAAATATTCACAATTGAACCCGTCTTTCGGCCGTTAGAGCGGCGACGCCAGGGGAAAGCTCATTGTCTCAAAGTTCGCGTGAAATAATATTAAAATAATACATTTTTTATGTTTTTTCGAGGGCAGCCCGCCGTAAAAAACAATAAGAAAAAGCCGTCACTCTGGGGCTCCTGGGTGGGACGCGGGCTCGTTAGAAGTTTTCGCGGTTCGGCACGGCAAGTTTTAAGAGTCATTGAGGAAGTTGTCGCAGTTTTTATCTCTCCTCTCTCTTTTCTCTTTCCATCATTGTCCCGGAAGCGCGACTCGTCAGCCGCGCGATGGCGAGGAGAAAAAAGGAGAGGAGGAGGAAAATTGAGAGGAGAGAGAGAGAGAGAGAGAGGAAAAAATGAAATTTATGAGAAATGAAATGCACTCGGGTACCGAGAGTTGTTCATTAACTTTAAAAGCGGAGCTGATGTGGGAGCTTCCCGAAATATTGTTCATGGTTGAGGTGTGAAAACTTCGCGGGGAATCTTTGTCCTGTTGACTTCGCCACCAACTTTGAGATGCTTCCCGACAATCGGTGATCTTTCTTTTACGAAAGAGACGCTCTGGAAGTTACACTCGTCTTTTCTGTTCTGAGCGACCGAGGGAACCTATCGGACTCTCGGCAAAATTCCCCTCATGAAATCTGTTATCTTACAATAGAACAGAAAACGAATTCTGTTTTTATTAATGAAAGAGCAAAATATATCATCCGAGCCTCAATGAGATAATTATGTTCTTTTCGGTAAAACGGCGGCCATGCCCGGATTCGTTGGATAGGAAGCCTAGGTGGTTGCCTATGCTGCCGTGCTAAGGAGGAACGCCGTATGAACCTTCATATGTTGCCACATTTCCTTCAATAAAACCTTAATTTACTGAGAAAATATTACATTTTTTCTTCGATTTTTTTGAACGATTTTGTTCGCAATTGCGTATAAAATGTCTGAAAATTTCAAGAAAAAACACGCATGATCGTTCTCGAAAATACATGTTTTATCCGGGGCAATTTAGCGACTCCCGAATGTCCATGTGACATTCTTCCTTAGCACGGCAAAATGGGCGGAAAACTTTCCATAGAAAAAGAAGAAAAAAAAGCTACTATAGAATTTGTATATTTTTTTCAATAAACAGTTGCACGGGTGAGATTCGATGAGAATTGGGTCGGAGGGTATGGATTCGAATGATGGGTATGGATGGGTATGAATCCATTGAAAACCAAAAACGTGAATCGATCGGATTGAAAAATAAAAACGTAAACCGACCGAAGTGATCGATCGACCGCGAACGGACCAACAAACCCGTGAACCAACAGACAAGTCCGCGAATCGATCGACAACTCCTTGAATCGGTCGAAAAACCTATGAATTTATCGAAAATTTGTGAATCTTTCAGCAAACCTGTAAATTGCAAGAATTTCCTTGCCTTTATAGTTAGAAAAAAGTCAAAATTTATAATGTAACGATATGTTTATCGAAATTTTGCATTTTTAGTAAAAAAAAAATATTCATGTTCGACCCCCATCGTGGGTCGTTCTACTGTCCGGCAATGCATTAGCTTCATTTTCTTAGCGTTGAATGGGAGTAAGGAAGATGTGGTGGTTGTTGCAGGATACTGGAAAACCTCCACCAGCGGGACATCAACATCAACTGCGTGGATCCTCTTGGTCGGTCGGCGCTGCTCATGGCGATCGACAACGAGAACCTGGACATGGTGGAGCTTTTGATAGAGCACAAAGTCGACACCAAGGACGCCCTCCTCCACGCCATCTCCGAGGAGTTCGTCGAGGCCGTTGAGCTTCTCCTTGACCACGAGAAAACCTGCCACAAAAACGGCGAACCTCACGTGAGTCTTTTAATTGTTCTTCTCCTTCTACTTCTTTATCTTCTTTTTTGGGGAACCAACTAGCACACTCACAATCGCAAGTGCATGTGGTGATATCAGTGATCTTTGATGGATTTGGTTCGGATAGGCAACTAAACTATCTGTTTGGTAAAGCGGTGAGTATCACTAGGGCGTCTATTGGTCCGGAAAGTCTGGAAATCTGGAAATTCCCCGTAAAGGTCCGGAATTTTTTGCTTCGTGCCACGGGTGTTTTTTAAACAACCTAGAAAATATGCAATCTGTTGCGTAATGACTCTTCGTGCAGTATTTATCCGCTTGCTATTGTATCCTCACCACCAATGAGCATCAAATTTTGTGGCTACGTCATTTTCTCGCGATTTACGATTTAATGCCGATAAATTTCGAATTCTGTCACTTTTAGGTGCCAAAAAAGTACTAAATTTGTCTGCTTATGAGGTACTGAATTTCTTGGGAAGGTACTGAAAAAGTACTGTAAAATTACCTAATATTTACCAGCAAGTTTTAGTAGACACCCTATTTATGCGACACGAGACTCCCGATATTAGAAGTTGGCAGTTTCGAAAACGCCTTCAATTGCGGCGTGATACCTCACGCATTCCGAAGAGTACGAATAGTTGTATCATTGCGCCTGAGCAATGAGATAGAAGATGAACATTGAAGTAGCCTCCACGCTGGCTTTGTCAATTTTTCTTTGCCGCTATTGCAGTTTCGACCGCATAGTTTAAAAGTGCTCAAGCTATGATTGTATTTAACAAGAGGCTGATTTTTAATAGAGTTCCACTTGAGCAACACCATTTTGTACTATAGGTGAAAAAGAACAAAGGTGTTGTGGTTAAACCTTTTTAATTTCTGAGATATCTTTTGGCTTACGCCGGATAATTTTTATAGCAGAATTACAAATAAACAAGCGGTAGAAAATATAACTAAATAATAAGAACTTAAATCAACAATCAACTTATTGTTACCAAAAAAGTACTGAATTTTTCTGCTTATGATGTACTGAATTTTTTGTAGAGGCACTGAAAAAGTACTGTAAAAGTATTTAAATGTTGGCCAGCCAATTTTAGTAGTCACTCTAATCACGGGAAACTGAAAACGCTCGAAGCCGAAATGGTGCTTTTGAAGCTCTTGGCCAATGATGTCTCTTCAATGTCGATTCGAATTACTGCGATTTGATGAGTTAACATGCATGCCGCTTGCAAATTGCTGCCGATTGCTGACTGTCTGCTACAGATGCACGCACCACAAACAAGATTCTAGTTTGTACAATTTCACCGGCCATACTCAATAAAAACCATAATTTTTTAAGAACTTTAAAAAAAAAGCTCCAATGCGGTTTGCCTGTAACTACGAGTATTTTCTCGCGCTTGTATCTCTTTACATTCACGGCCGCGGCGGCAGAGCAATGTTCACAATGTTAGCCGTCATATTAGTGGCACAGCCGGGCTTGTTCAACCAAAGTGATTCCCATTTTTAATTGACTTTCGCCAGGCTCGGCTTTTCCACGTGGAAATGACCTGTTCAAGCGAAAAAGAGGAGGGAGTTTCCAGCCAGCGTAGACAAATCGCCTTTGTAAACTTCCTTCCCACACTGTAAAAAAAAGACATTGGATCTGGAATCCAGACTCTTGAAAATATTGACAAGAAAAAATACTCTTGATTCAATCAGATTTAAGCTTAAATCAAAAGGAAATCCGCTCAAATTAAGAGGCTGGGTTCTTGATTTAAGCTTAAATCCGATTGAATCAAGAGTATTTTTTCTTGTCGATGTTTTTAAGAGTCTGGACTCTAAATCAAATGTGTTTTTTTTCCAGTGTATGAGAAAATTTTCTCTTGGATATAAAAGTCAAAAGTTGTATTTTTACTACGCAGAGCTTCTGCCTTGACGAAAAACAACGCACTCTGCTTACAAAATTCCAAGGTTTTCAAGGTAGAGAGGTTGACCTGCGCTAAGTATTTTCTCGAAAGGAACTCAGTAATTTTAATCGACGTAAACCTTGAGTATGCATAAACGAACAATTCCTACACCTCCTTATCCTGCTTAAAACGAGGCACCGTAAAAATGGACTCTGAACCTTCATATCATCACTCCATTTCACATTTTATATTTCTGTTTTTAACTTCGTCGCCTTTTCTCTATCATACATTATTTTCTCCTTGAATTATTTTAGATTTAACGCAACCGCCTTTTAGAGTAAACCGCTCAAAAGCTTCTTCATCATATTAAATAACAAATCTGCCTATAATTCATAACAAAGTGACTAATTTTTCTCAAAAAATTCCCCTGTCGCTAAAGGAGGTACAGATATAATTTCATCCAAACGTCATCTTGCCACGCTCGTTTAATCTGTCTCTTTGCAAACTTACTTTTCGGCTTACTTGATCAATCTGGAAAACTTCATAATCAAAACTTACAACTCGCTTTTGGCAATTCCTATGGTGCATGTTTTATCATAATCAGTTCGTTGAGCTTTATATACGGTGCACTTGGAAAAAAACACATTGGATCTAAAGTCCAGACTCTTAAAGACATCGACAAGAGAAAGTACTCTTTATTCAATCAGAATCTAGCTTAAATCAAGAACCAAACCTCTTAATTTAAGCGGATTTCGTTTTGATTCAAGCGAAAATCCGATTGAATCAAGAGTATTTTTTCTTGTCAATGTTTTCAAGAGTCTGGACTCTAGATCCAATGTGTTTTTTTNTTTTTTTTTTTTTTTTTTTTTTTTTTTTTCCAGTGTGAGATAATGTGACAAGGTGATAAGGTGACATGTTACGGGAGTGACACGACAAGTATAGTAGTTTAGTAAAATATGTGCGTTTACTTTAAGCTGCCTCATTAACCGACGCCTACCCCTATGATAAAAATTACAATAGATAATAAGAAAAGAAAAGAAAAACAAAGAACGAACACCCACTCAAGCTCGACCAAAGTTTCAACCTTCTATTTTACGTAACAAACGGCAACTATGCCGACGGCGGGAAAATTTCATCAGGCGGCGGCGCGCGGCGGCGGTTGAATGATCGAGCGAGTGGCGAAGGCAAAAGAATAGGGAAAGGGACCAAAGTCCTACAGGAATATATTCATTCCGCCGGGGGCGTTTTACGCCACTGCACCATGAACCGACGATTAGCACTTCTTTACCCCCCCTCCCCCTCCCGCCGTGCGCCCCTCCCGCCCTGTGAGAGGCCTCTCGTTAATGCTGAGCCTCGCTACATCCGCCCCGCATCCTAGAGAGGCGCCCTCGGATGTCGGAAGTATACTCGATTCGCAGCACCATTGCTATTCTACGCCTCGAGTATTCGCCCGTCCCGGGGAAAAACGCCTTAAGAACCTTCCAATGTTGCCAAATTTCTCCTCATAAAATATTTAATTGTGTGGAGGGTAATGAATATCTCATTTGGAAAATTTGAATCCCGCTAGATTGAACCGCGAATAAAATTCGCCGAAAAATTCGTGTAAAAGTATTGCTAAATTTTCTAGGGAATGTGAATTTCACCGAAATAGATTTGGCGACGTTCGGGTTTTCCGACGGTGTTTTCCCTCGGCACGGCAGTATTCTGCCGTGCTAAGGAAAAACGCCGTATGAACCTTCAGGCGTTGCCAAATTTCATTTGATGAAACACGAATTTCCTAATAAACTTATGAATGTTTGCCTTCCAATTTTTCAGACCATTTTGTAAGCAATTAAATCTAAAATATCTGCAAATTTCAAGGGAAAATATGCATGATTGTTGTCAAAAATCCATGTTTTATTCGGGAAGACTTGGCAACTCTCGAATGTTCATACGGCGTTCTTCCTTAGCACGGCAGTATTATCGTTACCCACCTTGGGTCGGATCCTAGGGTTTGTTTAGCGATTACCCTGACCGCCGGGATAATCTTCTGATGCGCCGGGATAAAAAAATGAACGGAGCGTCGATTTCCGCCGCAGTGCCCACGGTCCTGGATGTTGGAAACAGATTATTCCTCTCTTTTTAATTTGTCGAGTCGGCGCACGGTGGACCGAGTCAACAGGAGAAGTCGGACCAAAACTGGAAACTTTGAAGCCTCTATTTTTAAATATGAGACAAAAGTGTTTAAGAGTGGTTCAATTGGTTTTATCGTGAAATTTTCTCACAGAGACACTCCTTGAAATTGAACTTGTGACGAAATGAACATAAAAATTTGAAATTTTAGCCGAAAATTCAGTGTCCGACTTCTTCCGTCAGCTTGTTCCACTGTGCGACGGTTTCGGAAAGGAACCGTCTCCATTTTTCTTTTTTTCCTGTTTATTTTTTACCAGGAGAGCAAAGAATTGATGATCACCAAAAATTGATGAGCTAACTATAACAAAGAAAAATCTTGAGATAGAAAATAAGTAGTATAATATGAACCTGTGGGTTGGTTCATTTCTGTAGAAAGGAACCAACCCACATTTTGAAAAAATTGAGTTATGAGTGATTTTGAACTCAACAACTGCTCTACTATCTATCGCCAAAAATTCAAAGTTTTGGTCGGAGCAAATTTTGCAGAAATTGAACTTGAAGTTTATCTTTTACATTGAGTCTTATGCAGGAGCCAAGCTTTAAACCTCTTTTTCTCGGTTCGATCTCGATGTGGCTTGGTTCTTTTCTGTTCAACTCCGTCCAATTAACCTTCATCAACAAATTACAATATAAGAGAAGGCCCCTTTCCCTCAAGGTCGTTCGAGGACGGAGCGATGAACCCACTGTTCTCTGTGGTGTAAGAATGCGATTATCGTCATCCTCCTGACGTAAGGGCGTATCTCAAGCTCCACGTGAGCCCTGTTTTACATATAAATCCACGCTTTCCACGGCTCATGCAGGAATCGAGATACACCCTTACGCCGAAGGAGCGACAATATGTCCCGTAAAGCAGGCGCGCGGCACGACCGGGAGGCCAATTCGGAAACAGATAATTAGAAAAGCTCATCCGCGGAGCGTACGTGTCCGGGAGCCGGGCAGCAAACTTCGTTATTACTCGCCCGATCACTGCTTTTCGACGGGGTTAATTGAACCCTTTGCTTCTGGAACAGCCCAAGTGCTCGAAACTCTTGAGCCCCGCTTCCCTGTTAACCGTGGCCGGCTCCGGAGTTTAGGGATGTGGATCCTTCCGGAAATGAGGGGTTCGATTGGCCCCTCCCCGGTCTTTTACTTCTCGGCCCCTGCCTCGCTTTCGTCGCAAGACGCGATGCGATGTGACGGCGGAATAAGCCCCCGCCGCGTACTTGTCAAATTAAACAAAAAAATGCGGATATCTCGAAAAGAGCACACACCGTCGCTCCACTGATACACAAGGGATCGGGTCATCGAGTCAATAGGAGAGGTCGGACAAATTCGGAGACTTTAAACGCTTTTAACTCTGTTCATACAAGACTTTGAGGTTCTAAAAGTGATTCCATTGGTTTCCTCGTGAAATTTTCCTCTAGAAGCATCCCTTAAATGTAAAATGTGACAAAATAAACATCAAAATGGTTTCAGGAATTTTCGTCCAATTTTTTTCGTCCTAAAGAATTTTAGTCCAATAAATTTTGCCCAGTAAAACTTAGTCCAGTAAGTTTGGTCCGATATTTTTTGGTTCAATCCATAAAATAGCCGTGTGTTTTAGGTCCACTCGTTTTTTGTTTTTTGTTTTGTCCTTTACACAAAGTTTTGCTTTTCGACCAAGAACATTGCACAATAGGAATGGATTACATGATGTATTCATAAGAAGTGAGACAAATATCACCATATGATTTTGACCTTAGTTTTTCACAAGAGGATATGCTACCATGGTGATGGTGATGGTTTGCCAGTTGGACTACATTACGCAATAAAGAATTACTAACTTTGCGGTTCATCTACAAAAGCATCTATCATCAGTTTTCCTATGCTGATAGATGCTTTTGTGGATGAACCGAAAATAGTAATTCTTTACTACGTAATGTAGTCCAACTGGCAAACATGGACGCGGCCCAATTAAGGTAGCTTTGACACTCGAAAACAACTTCCGAAGGAAGGGACTAGACGAAACGATCCATCACCGACCCCGGATTTCAACGCGGCCTAACGGATGACTTGAAAATAGGGGCGATGTGTGGAAGGTCGAATGGGCCAGTAGGCCTCGTGGTAATAAGTTAAACGGGAGCGGCATTGTAACTGAATATAAGAAAGACGAAATTCTTACGGAGGAGGTAACATTCGAAAATTACTCTTTTTGGTCTCTGGAGCCAAGGTCCTTTCTCTCTTCTCTCCTCCTCTTCCAATAAGTGCGTCCCTAAAAATAAAATGCAGGTTTACTTTTTTTAAAACATTGGCTAATGCCATGTATGAATTTTTAAATGAGCCTTGTTCTCATGAGTACATTTTTTTTTTTTTTTAATTGAAGCATCTATTTTGAGGTAGGTCGGAGAGTTTTCATTCAGTTTGACGAGATATCTTCTCTTGTATCTCAAAGAATTAATTGAAAGCAGTTCGGTTCGATCCCGAAGGGTATAACGATGCATTTCAACCTGAATATTTTGCGTCCAGAATTAAGTAGCTTAAAATGTTTTACAGTCTGATTTACAAAAAACGAAGTTTTGAGAAGTAGCTTTTAAGACTTTTTAATGTTAATCTCTTAAAACTGTCGGATTTAAATGAATAAACTCTTAAAACCCCGAAGCTCATTCAAAGATTAACTGTTTCTTAACTTATTCTTCGATACGACATTACGACCTGAATAATTCTCCATTCTTGGATAAAAAACTGACCCTTTTTTTGACTACTTCATTTGAAAAGCATGGCTCTACTTGGCATGCTAGGATTTCCAGACGTAATGATTCATATATTGTGTATACTTATGAAAATGAAATGTGATAAAAACATTTACAATGGCAGAACTTTTACGATATGAGAAACTGAGTTACGTGTTTTTCTAGTCCTACAAACCCTGTTGTTGAAGTTTTAGAAGTAAAATTATGCCGTCAATCGGTGCTCTAGAACGATGATGATTTTCTAGTTTGTTATGCGTATAGTGCAGTGATATCACCATATCACTAAAATCAAGTTTGCGCATGTTTATCGTTGGAATGCGGATACGGAGGGTCTTATTCCAATTTGTCTTGTTTGTCGTCTAGTGCGTCCAATTGAGCAGTGAGGTTATAGGAATTCGTCAAAGATTTTTTGTTAGCGCACCTGTTTTTTCCAGTAGTTTACGTCCACGCGTTTTTTCGGCAGGGGAGTTTTGGTCTACCCACCATTTATTATTGAGACTCAAAATAAAATATTCTTGACGGCATACTTAGGAATTTTTCTGCCTAGATCGAGTCATTTTTTTCTCTGATGAAATTTGAAAGTTATGCTAAAATTTATTAAATACAGATGCTAGGACTTGATGAGTTTTAGGACTACCGCTCTCTTTTTGTGCCGTAGCATCTTGATTTATTTTGCGGAGAACGCTGCGTATTCTTAAAGGATGCCCGTCCTTCTTAATATGTTGGGGCGCCTTCAGTTTCGAATGACACCATGCAACACCTTTGTTGTGAAATAGTTGCTTAAGGTGCCATGCCGCGGCACGGCGAGCGGGCGGCCAGCGCAAAACATTGGCGCCTACAAACCTAAGTAGATACTTCAAACATTGCGCAATGCGTGAAGTATCCCTTTAGGTTTGTAGGCGCCAGTGAGTCTCTCGCGCTGGCTGCACACCGCTCCGCTCTGTTGGCTTTAATATTTAAACTCGCAGAGTCAGCGTTTTTCAACTCATGATTTTGAAATGCTTGCACACTCTGCATGGACTATTCTCATTTAAATTGATGAAAAAAGACAAGTATTAAAGGAAAATAAATTGTGTATTCTGTAAATATTAAGATGATTCCGTGTCAAATTTAATTATTTTCAAAGCCTTCTAATTTTTTCTTTCATATTTTGTGCTTTTACTGTGCTGCAGCAAAACCAAACTCTCAAAATTGGACGTATTTGATTCTAACAGATCGATGTACAAATGGGTTAAAACCAAAGAGTGCGTGATTTTTGGTTTTTTCCCTTCTTTTATTCGTTTTTGTACAGTTCCTTTCAACACACGACTCATTGAGAGTAATATCGATGCCATCGCTTGAAAATGTTTTACAAATGTTTGCTACGTTTTACTAAGATGAATCACAAGAAGAAAGTAACATTTCATTTAAAAAATGAGTTACCATAACAACACCCCCTTCTCTTTCAATTTTCTCATTTCGATATTGTCGATATAATTTTAAAATCGGACTTAAATATAATGCTTGAACCAAGTCACTGTTTCTTATTTTACGCATGGATGTAAACTACTGGACAAAGCAGGTGCGTGGACAAAAAATCGTTGACGGAATGTCCTGAAACCAGCAGTGATGGCACCTAATGACTAAAATCAGGTTTGCATGTTTCAGAGTTGGGAGGCTCTACCACCGGACACTGCCACGTTCACGCCTGACATCACTCCATTAATTTTAGCAGCTCATCGTGATAACTATGAAATCATCAAAATTCTACTAGATCGAGGGGCGACTCTTCCAATGCCTCATGATGTCAGGTAAACGTCTGTGCTCAGCATTATCTCCCCCCTCCCTGCCCAAAAAAATCCCCTGCTCTGGAATCCTCTTAATATTCAGTATGACAATCAGGATAACTTGGGGGAAAAAATCCAGTCCGCCCAAGTAGAATTGAAGAGCCGGAAATCCTCTGACATTCTTCTTGACCTACTCCAAAATTGTATCCGTGAGAGTGTGAATGATAGCTTAAGAGTAAGAATCAAAAATTGATATAAATCCAATTTTGGAGAGTGATTCTAGTTATTAAATTTATGACTAGTTTTTGGTATTACAAAAAAAAAAACATTTTTAATTACTTTAAATATTGTCATTAACTCCTCAAAGAGCATGTTTGTATTAAGCATGCGTGTAAATTTATACAAAATATTAAAACATGAGTAGACAATGCTAACATTTTAAAAAAAAACCGAGGGGGAAAAAACAAGACGTTCCGAGCTTTTAAAAATTCGTTCGCTTGTAAAAAAAAAAGCTTGTATCCAGTTGTGCAGCTGAAAGTAAGCATGTGGATGTCTCGGAAACTTCCTGATTTATAAGTGTTTTTAAAATATTAGCCTCCTTTATTTGTGTTTTTAGTTTTTAAACTTTCGTTTCTCTATTCTATTCATGTAACTTATCTATGTTTCTATACATCACAAACACTGAAAAAATGATCCTTACATCATATTTGATCTACAAGGACCTTAGTGATCCTAGACTACGCTATGTATCGTTAAGAGTGCTGAAGCCTTGTTCCCATTACAAGACTTCTTTCCACTGAATGATGACTCTTGTATCCTAAACAAGACAGACCAGTGTGATAAACAAGGAAGTATATTGAATCAAGCACAAGTATATGTCAAGGCTCCTATCCTGCTGTGCCAAGGAAAAACGCCGTAAGAGCCATTTGGCGTTGCCAGATTTCCATTAATAAAAACCGAATTTCCTGAAAAAATTTTTAATGTTTTGTTTCAATTTTTTCAGACGATTTTGTTCCCAATTCGATCTAAAATACCTGAAATTTTCAATGAAAAATATGAGTAACTTTCCTAAAAAATACATGATTAATCTGGGGAAATTTGGCAACTATCAAATGTTCATACTGCGTTTTTTCTTAGCGTGGCAGTATTGGTGGCAACAAGGTAGTTTTTTCAGTTAAGAGTTAATTAAATAATTAATTTCATTGGTATTTGGAGAGTAGCCGAGTGCTAGAAATAATGTGAAATTTTCTTTAAAAAACTTACATTTTATTAACACACTTAGACCGAAGCTTTTCGAAGCAAACGCTGATCAATTATTACCATCAATGAAATCTGTTACCTTTTTTAAAATTAAATTGTGGCCTTTATGATATCGATTTTGTGACCCTGACGATGCCGCGTTTGCTTAGAAAAGCTTCGGTCTAAGTTTGTTAATAAAATGTAAGTTTTTTAAAGAAAATTTTACATTATTTCTAGCACTCGGTTACACTCCAAATACCAATATATTCAGTGCTACTACCTTTCAGACATTGTATTACAATGTTCGCTGATTTTGATTAATTTCATATTGTACGTTTCCTCTTTGGTAGTTTTTATGTTTTTTATATAGTTTAATGGTGACTTTTACCTGTTGTCTTGAAATCAGGTGCGGGTGTGACGAGTGCGTGACGTCACGGATCGAGGACTCGTTACGTCACTCGCGGTCGCGGATAAACGCGTACCGCGCCTTGGCCAGTCCCTCACTCATCGCCCTCTCCTCCAAAGACCCCATCCTCACCGCCTTCGAGCTTTCCTGGGAACTCAGACGGCTCAGCTTCCTAGAACACGAGTTTAAAAGTGAATACCAGGTCAGTGTTTTGTTCATATCTGAAACTAGAGTCCCTTTATACCCAGAGTTACGACAGCTTACATTTGGATGGGCTGAAAATGGGCCTAAAAAAAATCCAATTCTGATCGGTTCTCGCTCATGGAGTCATAAACGAGTGCACCAAGATGGCGGTGACTCGAAAGTGAACAAAAATGATGAAAATATTAGCTAATTGTGGTTTATCAAGAGTAAATTGTTATTTCTATTGATCCAAAATGAAAACAGACTAAGAAATTATTCACAAACCAATCTCATTTTCTTTATAATTGATCAATTTTGTTGATGTTGTTCATCGCAGTTCATCAGACATCGCAGGATTCCTTAGCCTTATCCCTCAATATCGTTCGTTTGGGTACACTCGTTTGTGCCTCCATGACCAGCCAAGGCCGGCTGCAAGTCAGCTGATAATCGAGTTGTCTTAACTCTGGGTATAAAGGGACTCTGTAAAGGGGTATTTGAAACGATAACGCATAGTCGTAAAAATTACTCGTCAAGTCATTTTGTCCGCTAAGACAGGTGCGTCTAAGAGTCCCTTTATACTGAAAGCAAAGGCAATGCAAATCAATTTCCAATTGGTTCCCGTATTTTAGGCCTTCAGAGTGTCACAAGCGGGAATGAAGATTGCATTTTCACCAATTGCAAAGATTATAATCTGGAGTGGGCCGGGGAATCGGGGTACGGCAAGGAACAAATAGAACGAGAGAGGGAACGGAGACATGCCGCAACCACACGATGAATGTTGGAGTTGAATGTGGCTTGAATGTGGAAGTCAAATTCAGCAACGATTCTCAGCAACCATCGGTCTAATGTTGGATTTGTCTGAGCTATTCGAGTAGATTTGATACACATCTGGATAAAAATAACTCGAATTTGCGAAATTTCAGCCGTTGGGCGATGACTGTTGACTTCCATATTCAGCTGCTAAATTCAGCGTGTGATTGCGGCAACAGGAATTCGGGAATGAGTTAATCAAAGATTACAAAAACTTCCGATTTGTGTAATCTTTATTCCTGTTTGTTACATCCATAAGCCGCATTGTCACAACTCTCTCTATACGGGGACTCCAGTGTATCTAGAGGGTCTTTTCTGGCCCTAAAATTTGTTCAAAACTTTTAATGCGCAAAGACGTTTCTACGTGGCGAAGTTCAATTTTTAATGACTGTACTAGGTAACACTCTGACTTAGTTTTAAAGTTGTTTTGCATGATAAGTGTAGTATTTTGTTTAAATTCAGAAAAGAAAGGCGAGGGCAAAAGTAGGGAAGGGTACGAGACAGCTGGATAACTGAACTGTGGTGGGAAACGACCTTTTGGCCCTTGGTAAACTATGGAACCCATCTTATCCATTTTTTAGCTTTGACATCTATCTACATGGTGCGGGTCCACTTTAACATGGGTGATGTTTTTTCTTCGAATCTGAAGTACGCCGCCTCAGAAATTTGTTCCTTAGGATTAAAAAATGATGTGTGCCAAATTTTTTTCTTCTTCGATAATTTTAAGTGGTGCCGCATTGAGGCTGAATTTTCGAAAAATCGCCGAAAATATAGGGAAAAATAAAATAATGTATACATTGGCAACGTCGGTAAATTAACAGTGGCACCACTGGCCACACTAATTGGTGCTGATTGGCGAATTGGCAGGATTATTAGTTAAGCTAGGTATATTTTTAACTCAAGTTATCAAGTGAAACGGGTATTTTCGGGTTTGATATCTCAATTTCAGCTCATTCCTACTTTGTCCTACTAGAGAAGAATGCCGTGTGAATATTCGAGGGCTACCTTTCCATCGATAAAAATAATGTATATTTTGGAGGGAAGTTTTGGCTTTTTTTCCTTGAAATTTTTAAGAGCTCTAGGTGAAATTGCGAACGAAATTATCTAAAAAATTGGAGGGAAATTACTCATAAGCTTAACGGGAAATCCGTAGAGCTAATCTGACCAGGAATTCCGACTTAATGGGTCATTTAGCGTAGAGTACCTCTAATTCAGCGGCGCGAGGTGTGCTGCTAGCGCGGGACGTGGGCCGGCGCCTACAAACCTAACAGGGATACTTCACGCATTGCGTAATGCGTGAAGTATCCCTGTTAGGTTTGTAGGCGCCTATGTGCGTGTCACGTTGGTTGACCGCCTCGGCGCGGAGTACCACGGGGTGCGCTTATGTATGATATTACACATGTACGGACCCATCAGGAAATGCACATTTAACTCACAAGAAGGTTATTTTACATCAACTTATTTTTTTTCTCAATAACCATGAGAGAGAGGTGTGCAACTCTGAATTTACTGTTGTGCTGAGGAAAAATACCAGATGAAAATGTGTTACCAAATTTTATCACGGTGAAATATTTATTTCCGAGGAGAGTTATGAATATTATTTCCTTGGAATTTTCAAAATTACTTTGAATCGAATTGCGAATAATATTCTCTAAAGAATTGGAAGAAAAATATGTGATTTTCCCCGGAGAACTCATGTTTTGCCCAAGAAATTTCGGCAACACGTGGATGTTGATGTGCCGTTTCCCTGAGTTCGGCAGAAAACGTGGAAAAGATCGAAAGCTGTGCTACCAAGTTAGGGAAAAACGCCGCATGAGCCTTCAGCCGTTGCCAAACTTCCTTTGACTAATCACGGAGTTTCGGGAAAAATTGTAAGTATTTTTCTTCAAAATTTTCAGAGAATTTTGTCCACGATTTGATCTACAGTGTCTGAAAATTTCAATGAAAAATATTCATAACTCGCCTCAAAAATAATAATTTTTTGAGAGTAAATTTGACGACATTCGAATGTTCACACGGCGTTTTTCTTCAGCACGGCAGTGCGGGCAGTGTGCACGCAAATTATTCCGAACGGGAACTCGGTAATAATCGGCTTACTGTTCCAACCGTTGCACAGTGGACCGAGTCAACCAGAGAGGTCGGACATGAAATTTTTGACTAAAACTGCAAATTTTGACGTTTATTTTGTCAAATTTTAAATTTCATGGGGTGCATCTAGAAGTAAATTTCACGAGGCAACCAATGGAACCACTTTTAGAACCTCAAAGTTTTGTATACCTCGAGTTATAAGCTTTTAAAGTTTCCACATTTTGTCCGACCTCTCCTATTGACTCGATCCACTGTGCGTTGGAGGCGCCCGCACCGTGGCCTGTGTGGTCTGTGGTTGCACATGTTCATTTGTGATAAGCCGGCGAGGGCACAGAGGTTCCCTGCATTCAAAAGAACTGCACTCTCTCACGGCGCAAATACCGGATTAACCTCATCATTCGGGACCTCTGTATGCGCAACGGCCAGTACTTAATCCAGTTCCGATTTCCAGTATCTAATCGACGGGCCCCACGCCGAACAAAGAATCTATTAGGGCTCTTCGCAGTAACAATATTTATAAATCGTTTTAAAATCCTGCTAAAGTCCGACATTTTAGATTTAACTAATTGGATTTTTGTGAAAATCCGCACGGAAATAAATGGAGCGAGTAGCCGCACCCTTCTAAAAATGGTGAATACAAATGAGTGAAAAATCAAAGTCATATGTATAGAATTTCGATTCATATGAATAGAATTTCAACTCATATGAATAGAATTTCAACTTATGTGAATAGAATTTAACTCATCTGAGCAGAATTTCTCTATTCAGTTTTCGCCAACTCATATGACCAGAGATTCCAACTCATATAAATAGAGGTTTCAACTCACATGAGTTCGCAATGTTGAATCTGCCGCGTTCGATATCTTAGAAACTAGTCACCGCATCAAAAAAATTATACGAACAGAATGTTTTTATTTGTCAAAATTACATACTCTGTCGGTGTTTCCTGGTCAGAAACGACACTTCTGAAAAATGAAAAAAATTGCGTTCGTATGTGTTGAACTTTTCTACTCTTATGAGTAAAATATTCTAAGGATATGAGTAGGATTTCTACTCATATAAGTAGGAAGTTCTACCCATGTGAGTTGGCGAATTCTGAATAGCCTACTCGTCATTTTTAGCAGGGCACGCTGTTAAAAATTTTGGATTTTATTTCATTACAACTCTCAGTCCTGATATCAACCGCGTGACCGCATTTATCGTTTGTGGTATTTCATAATCTCTACTCTGATTTTATCTTATCAAAGGAGAACAAAACAACGGTATTCCGTGAAATTTTCATAAATTTTTAATCACACAGTATTTAACCACACAAGTCCAATGTTGACAACATGCTCTTCCATAATGATGGACTTGACTTTAAGAAGTCACTTAACACTCAGTGTTGATTTTTGTCAAAACAACTTAACGTACTCAGCCTATTTATTTGACATACTGCTTCCTCTCTCAGTCAGAAACGTCGCATAGCTATCTTCTCCATAGTGTACAGATTACTTTCGGAAGTCAACACTCAGAATCGTCTAATGATGACCGGTGACTAAAGATTTTAGCAATTGGTTCTGCAAAAACCTAATTTGCAAAACCTAGAGTAGCAATCTTCATACCCCGAAACTTATCAGTCATCGATAGGCGAATTTTATTTTTTGATTTTTGCTCAAGGAGATGCTCATCACAACGTTGACCACTGGATGTAAATTTTGCCTCGCTCGATTACATTGCTTAGATGTGTAACATGGGGTGTCTGAAATGCATTGTCTCTGTTCTCAATAAATAAAACAGTGCTCCATTCAAAGGGAAGCTTGTCGGGTCTCCTACTAAGCCGTTTAGTGCACAACCTGGCAGCGGGGCAACAGCCTATGTTTTGATTGATTACTGTTACACTCTCTGATTAGTGGGTCGTTTCGTGCTACGCTCTAGTTGCCTTTCCTTTAATCGTTATGGGTGTTCCGTTTATTGCTGTTCCTTTCCTGAACTTTTTCAATTTTTGTTTTACTTTGTTTTGTTCCGACCGTTCGCCAACATCATTGAGTGTTGCTCCGTGGTATTGATAATAATCGAGGTTATTTGTTTACTTGATGATCTGTGTACACGGCCGGCAACTCATACGGGGATAAATATTTT